TATCAGTGGCCCGTTACTCTTGACCCCACATCGCTGCCCCTCCCTGGACAGGCTTCTCAGCTGCCTCCCCCACCCCAAGTAAGCCAGGGCCAGCAACGATATCTCTTGCTTAAGGGCCTTCTCATATTCCATACAGAGAAACTGCTGTCCCCTGGGGCCCGCTGTAGGCTTCAGCCTCCTGGCTGGCTGACGAGGGACAGCCTGGCCAGCACATGTGCCCATGGCTTAGTGGGAAGCCCATAGGATTTCATGAAGCTGCCCGGGGGTGTCCAGTTCCCACTGTGCCAGGTTCACACTGTCCCCGAGGGGCCATCAGTTTCTGCCTCATCACGTTCTGCCTTTTTAAACTTGAACTCCACCAGCTAAAGGTCATCGCACAGCATGGAAATCTGCTTTTACTTCCCAATCCCTGAATCTGAAGGATTTTCAAAAGCTCGACTCCATGAAAGCTGGGTGCTCTGGGTACCTAGACGGCGCCCGTGGGAGGATGGTGATCTCTGGTACAGCTGAGGAACTCAAAACAATCTCTTTAGAACTGCTTCCTCCTCCACTCAGGCCCAGCTTGGCCCACACTTCTGACCTCCAACCCCTGGACCGGCACATGTAGAACTGCGGCCCTTGGGACCCCGGTGCCAGTCTGACCCTCTCTGTGACATCTTCACCACTCCACACTGCTGCTTTAGACATGGCTCTCTATTGGCTTAACGACCTTCTTCAGTGTGAGTCTCAAAGAAGCAGAGGCAGAGGAGCCAGGGCAGATGTCTCTTTTCAAGTAGGAAGTCTCTCACGGGGATAAGCACATGTGGAAGGGGGTCCATGAATCTCCCACTTTTGCACTGCAAACTGCCACCTTCTTTCCTCCTGGTGGCAGTCTGTCTGTTCCACGGTCGGCCTCAGCAAGGAGGAGAAACTTCTAAAAGGCCTCATTCATCACACTTCATGGGGACAGTGAAATTAAGAAAGAGGAAGTTTGGTTTGTGTTGTTTTGTCGAGCAATATTTACTGGACCAGTTGGTTAATTAACTGCCTTGGCAATAGCTGGAGCCAAACGAGGCTTGTTCCCAGTGCAGGGAGCAGCTGGAGAAGCAGGACACAGTGTTAATCGAAGAGCAATGACATTTCCAGTGATCCCTGACCTGTAATGGACTCAATGACATTTCCTGCTAATCCATGGGTTTCTGTACTCCCGGGTTTCATCTGCGTGGAACAGTACTGACTTAACTGCAGTGACATGTTCATGACCTATGGTCACTCAACCAAGCTGGCAGGAAGATGGATTCCTCAGCCTCCACCCATCTATATGTATATGATATATATGTGTATATGATACACTTAGGCATATGTATCTACACATTTGTTTTTTGCTTAAAATAAGAGATTTATTCTTTAAATTCTGTGGGTCATAAGTTCCTATATTTTCTCCAGTTTCATAGCCTTTTAGGTTCAAATCAAAACAGAGATCCTGCACACCAGGAGGTGATGGGCTTTGTGGTGGCTCATGATAAGACACTGCTTCTCCGCTGCTGACACCTGGATGTACAGGTAGAGGAAAGTGAAGCACTATTGCTGGTGGGATACACTTGTTTCCAAGTTGTCTACAGCACAACATTGCAGTGACAGAAAACAAAAGGGTGAGAGAGGCCCTAGCCCCTAGGGCTCCTGAAACCCCA